GGCTCAGGTGAGCTAAAAACAATTACTTGTTATAGCTTGATGGATGCCCACAAGAACACAAGAGACGCCTGTTCTAGCTCACACGACGAGGCCACTACTCTCAAGCTGCATTGAGACTTTATTGATGGTGAGAAGCAGTGTATTTAAACAAATACAATCAGTTTTTAAATACTCAAAAAAAATGTACTGATAAATAGTAATTTGTTTTCAGTGTTATTTCTTTTGTAGACCTAACCAAACCAATCTAGAACAAAGATCTTGAACGGCTTGAAAGAACTGAAGAGGGGAGGAGAATAGTGGTTAGAATCCAGGACGTACACCCGAAAGAGTGCCAGAAAAGAATTGCAGACAAGGTTCGCACTGAAAGAAGGTTGTCAAAAAGTAAGCATATATATCAGTACTTTAATTATACTGGTTCTTGAAATTTTCCGTTTTATTTGATAGCAAGGATTCTAAAATGAAGTTGCATTTATCTTTTTTTTTTCAGGTGAAGAGAAGAGTTTCTGAGGATTTCTGACAATTAATATATTGAAGATCATTAAGAAATTTTTATTATTTGATACATTTGATCTTTTGTTGTGTTTAGATAAAAATATTATCCCCAAAATATACCATTAAATGGAAAGGTGAGCAAGCCAAGAGCCATATAAAATGGATAAATTGAGTAAGGTTATAGCATTAAACTTGTATATTTTCTTGATATCCTGTATACAAGTTTACAGAAAGGAATAAATCAATCAAACCCTGGAATATTTAAGTGAAGGATATAGCTTGAAACTAGAAATCTACTCTATAATTAAGGATGTCTGATAAGCTCCTTCAAGTTGATAGTTAATCAACAAAAAATAAGGACAAATCAGGAGTCGGGACAGCTAAAAAATCACTTTAGTGTCTCTTGTTTAGTCTCGACATGATTTTTCGAATAATCCAGTATTGAGAACAATTAGAATTCAACAGATAATCTAATTTATTGCAATTATTACAGTGCATAAGGTTCAAAAAATATTTATGTTACATTTTACACAAGTTTTCAAACGCCAGGGCCAAGGGTTATGAATATATATTTTTCTTGTATTCCTTAAATATACATGTAGTTAAAGTCAAATAAGGGTTGTTGTTTTTTCTTCGTATAAGCAAACCGTACATGCAAATATAAAGTGATATAATTATTTTAATTTCATACGTAATGGACAAAATAGATGGCAAAAGGGATGTCGCGACATGTTGAAATCACTTAATGGATTTCTCTTTCGTTGTGACTTAATATTTTGACAAAGTGCTGCGAACAGTTAAAAAATATTATATTTTTCAAATACAATTAGAAACATGGTATTTCCTGTTCATTCTACATATATTTATTATTTTCGACTTTGAATATTGTGTTTTTTCAAAAAAAAAATTATGACCCAGTGATTTGAATTAAAAGGTCAAAATACTTTATCAATGAATATACTTTAAACATATTTTATTGAGTAATTCAATAAGGATTGGGCAACAGGCAAGCCCTCTCCTTGTATAATAGGTCAAAATACAGTAAGTAATAATACCTGTACATGATAATCAATAAAATTACAATGAAAAATAAAGATTCACAATTAGTATTATTAATCAATGTTATGTTTCAAACAAGATGACAACCCCCTAACTGTATACATATTATTTACATACTGTTCCAGCTTAAAAATAATACAAATATTTGGGAAAAATATTATGCATTTAATAGAATATTTAATATAACAGTGTCCCTAATTTAGTCTCTTAGAAGATTTAAAAAATTCTTGTACATATGAAAATATTTTACAATTTGTTTGATAAGAGTATTGACATTTTCCTCTTAGCAGAGTGTCTAGTTCAAAAACAACATCAATATCATTTAATTTTTTTACCAATAAGTTTCTTTCAACATTATACGTTGGGCAGTTGATAAAATAATGTTCTGTATCTTCAGTATGAAATCCACACTTTTGACATGATTGAATATCTGATAAAAAAAAATGATTTTTTAAATGTGCATTAAGATTACTAGCACTGTTTCGCAGCTGACAATGCAAGATATTTTCTTTTCTATTTCCAAAGTTAAAGTACCTACAAGGTTTATTAGTTGCACCCCAATTCTTAAGCTTTGCTTTAAAGATAGGTAATGAGGGAGAGTTTTTTACATCTTCACTAAGACTGTTCCAAAGTTTTATGGTTGAGGGAATAAAACCTTTATAGTACGACATTGTTTTACAAACTGGTATACATAAGTTATTACATCCAGACCTTAGGTTGTATGCATGTTGAACAGGAAAACATGGTTGAATCAAATCATACAAATAACAGGTGTAGAACCATTAATCATTTTAAACATCAATTGAAGTTTGTGTTTTTCTCTTCTAAGATATAATGGTTCCCACCCTAGTTCACCATACAAACAAGTTCTGGATGAATTAACTCTAAGCCCAGTAATAATTCTGGCAGCTTCTATCTGAACTTTTTCAAGCAATTCTGAACTACTTTGGGTACAATTATCCCATACAACATCAGCATATTCTAAAATTGGTCATATAAAGGCAAAATAAATTCTTATTAGTGAATTTCTATCTATACTATATTTCAGTAACCTAATTATATTCAATCTTTTACATGCCTTTTCATATATATTCAATGATTATTCCAAGAACCATCTGCTTGAAATTGTAATCCTAAATGAACATGAGTATTTGATTGTTTTATATAATCACCTCCATATCCAAACTGAATATTAGGATAACTTATGTGTTTTCTAGTAAAATCAACATTAACAGTTTTTTCACTATTAAAATCCACAGCCCAAGCTTTGGACCAATTTCTTATCTTTTCAAGATCTTGAGTAAGGGACATTGTTGGAGCATTGATATCATTGCCTATAATCGCAAACAAAGAAGTATCATCAGCAAACAGTCGAATATTACAAGATATATCTTTATATATAATATACATTTATATATAACAAAAACAAGAAGGGACCCAGTACAGACCCCTGAGGTACCCCAGCATCTATTGTTTTATATGCTGATGAAAAGCCTTCTAAATTCACTCTTTGTTGTCTTTCAGTAAGGTAGTCTTCAATCCAACCCAGTATATTACTTCTAAAACCAAAGTTTTTAAGTTTGAAAATCATTCCCTTATGCCATACCTTGTCAAAAGCTTTGGAAAGGTCACCAAAATTTATAGCGTATATCTCTGCCTCTGTCAAGTTTTGACATAATTTTATCATATATTTCAACTAACTGGTTAACAGTAGAATCTCCAGGTTGGAACCCAGATTGGTATTTGCACAATAAGTCATGTTCCTTAACTGTGGTTCTATGAGAAAACCAGGCAGAATTGTAAAATATCAATTTTTAAGGTATTTTTAAATGTCATAATTCCATTAAATATTGATAAGGTACTCATCACTGATAAAAAATCATGAGGTGAGAAAATTGATAGCTTGTTCTATTTATAGTAACAGAGCCGTCATTAAAACCAGGAAAATAAAGCATAAGAAAGGGCAAATAAAGGGGGAATTTCATTCAATTTCGATGCAGTATTAGAGCCAAAAACAATCATTTACACATAAACTACTTATTTAATATAAAAATTCAAGATTATAATTTATGTTTGATAAAAAAAAAATTCTTGTCAAACATGCAATGTTGCCATAGCAACCCGTCAAAAATGTCTCTTTTGACAGAAATATCGTTTCGGATATAAAGGTACCATAAAAATCTTCATATTAAACAGGGTTAGGACGCTTATTATTTTTAAATTCAAAATTAATTAAAAAGTTAAGTATGTTTGAATTCTCTATGCAATTGGAATTGTTTGGGTTTTGAGAAAATCTGTCGTTTTTGAGTAGTTAATCAGTATTAAATTATCAGAGAAATTTGGGTGAAAATTAACATAAACACAATAAACAAAAGACAAATGCTGCTTATTAACTGATTGTTATTTTTCATTAATGTTGATCTATAAATAGAAATAATTGTTCAAAATAAAATCAAACAATTAACAGGTTTAATTCATTAAAAATGCCTTTCATGAGACATAAACTTGAAGTTTCAGCATAGTTATCTCCCTTTACGGTACTCTCTAGGGAATGAGACACATAAGGTACATGCATGAATATGGCAGCTTCCAGGCATGGTGAAAGATTTGACTTTTCAAGGTCATGCACTTCTGTTGCATGTGGAAGACTTACAGAAAGTATATATTCATGTCGAAAAAAAAATATTGTCACACTTGGTGCATTGTCAATCTGTCCCTAAACAACATCAAGTGACAATACCCGAGGGCGTTCTCTTGCTTTACCAAAGTTACAAAAGAGTATGTAAATTTCAAAATATGTCAAACGAGTCACAGAAATAGTCTTTGTACTTACTGGTACAAGACTCTAGGCGATGTTCACACCCGTTGCACCCACCACCAGAAGGAGAAACCAGACAGAGGAGTTAATTGCCCCGTTTCCAAAGAGATATGGCTACAAGAGAGGATACTTGTACCTGTTGGTAAGTGATCTGGTGATATATAATGAACACTACAATAACATTATCTTATACATGGATACAATTTTGATTGGTCCTCAGATGATTTTTAAGAATTTCTGGTGTAATATATGAGAGAATATTGATTCAATGTAGATTTACATATAATTTACATTCCATATATATTTTGCTAAATAAAGTGGAGAGCTATGACATTCAAATTGACAAAGCTGCATAAAATAAAATTGATAGGAGAGTCTAAAGGATATCAATATGATTTTTATTATGAATCATATCACATATAGGTGTAGTACACCATCGACTCGAGTAAGTTACTAGACTACAATATGTACATTAATTAAAAAATAAATATAATTCATAAGTGTCTTCAAAGCTCATGTGTACATATTAGATCTCAAAGAATCCTATCCGCATGCACAATGATTTTCTTTTTAAGGTAGGGGTTATATTTTTTATTTAAAGAAAAATAAGTAACCTCAGGGTGCCTGTGATCCCATTCAATTAGAATGGATATCTGTTGAAATGCAAGAAAAATTTAACAGCTCTCATTAAATTGCAGGTTTATGAAGGAATCGTTCTGAAAGGCACAGAAAAACTTACTCCACTAAAGTGGATATTGAGGTTGATCATTGATGATAGGTTCAAGGTTGGTACATTGTATACATGTGATATTGCATAACCCACAAACAACACCTATTATATGAATGTCCAGGACACTAATAAAAACTCAAAGCCCCTTCCCCCCTCCATCCAATCTGAGGATTTTTCTTATTAATAAGGAAATGCATGTTGTCTGCAATATTTTAAAAAATTAAGGCTTATCATTTCTCGGAGATTAACATCTTTTAGTTTAGGATTGAAAATTTATAAAGCAATGAATAAATGATCTTGCTATATGTTTACTGCACAAGTACAACAGAAAGCACTAATAAATTTTGAAGTTGGTCTTCAATGTGCTAAATTACACAACAACAAAACTACAGATGTACCTACCAAAAAAAAATCAGAGTACATAAACAGTTTTGTAAATGATTACTTCATTTATATCAAGGAATCTGTGGAAAGTTTTTAAAAGGGGCTTCATGTAATCATATAGGCAGTTAAATTACAACCCAATTAACACATCCCATATACTCTCTTTGTCCAAAAACAAAAAAAATGGAGAAATAAAACAGCCAATCAAACTCTATTTTAAACTATACATATGAATTAGTTCCTCTTGTGAAAGTGAGGTTGAAATCCTGTAGATTTTTATAAGTTGATCTGTGTTTTACTGTATTGCTCTGAGGCCAGAATAGTGAGAATACTATTCCTAGTGATCAAATTATTTAGAAATAAAATCCCACTCGTGTATAAAAAGAGAAAATAAATTAAAATATAAATACAATATATAAAATGATAAATATTCATTAAAGTATAAGAAGCTAGAGTAAGGGCTATAATTTTGAAAATAGATTACTTTTGTCTGCATTACTGACTATCACATTGTCATGTAAATGATGTAAATCATATTTTTTGTTATTTCAGCTGAATTTTTTAAGCTTGGTACTGAGGATATTGAAGAGAAAATAGAATGTGACAATGAACAGTGTCCAGCTGTTTCTCAACACACCTCAGGGGTGGAAGGTACATATCTAGTTTATTTATTTTTACAAATTTGGTTTACTATAAGGTAAACTGTTGCTATCTGTATTCATCCATTGCTCTGCACCATATGTTGGTGCTCTGCACCATATGTTGGTCATGTACTTTTGAATATTTTAAGCTTAATTTCTCTATGTAATGACTAAATTAAAATTCAAACTAATAAAATATCTGTTGGTAAATTAATTAGGACGGAAAAAGAAGTTAATGACACTTTGTCTTTTCATATCTGACATGAGATATTTTCATCCTTTTGTAGAAGCACAAATTTTAGTAGGGATAAAATTTCATTGATTTGTCACCTAAAAAAAGTTTCCAGGCATTAAATTTTGTTGTTTCCAAAGTAAAACTCAGTAGTACTGGTACCTATAACAACAAAATAAATGAAAATGAATATCCAATGATTATTTCTGCATTTACAGTTTATTGAAAATTCAAGACATTTTTGAAAATCCCTATGAAGTTCCAATTAAAAATAAAAACCTTTATTTCACCAAAACCCATTATGAGATTGAGAGCATATATTTTTATTAGAGTGGGGGTATTACTACTGAACATTGACACACAGACTTCTTTTTTATGCACCCAGATCGGTAGATCTGAGGTGTATATTGTTTTTGTCCTGTCTGTTTGTCTGTTTATCTGTCTGTCTGTTGTCAACTTTAACCTTCACCATAACTTTTGAACCATGGGAGATAGAGACTTCATATTTGGCATGCTTACTTAATTAAGTTCTTTCAAATGACACCAAGGTCAATGACCTTGTGACCTTGACTGTGACATCTGCAAAAACATTTTTTTTTAATTTTCTTGTTTCTGTGTTAAATGGTTAAAGGAATAAGTCAATGAAATTTGACAGCTATAGTCATAGTGTCCTGATTATAGTGAGTATAGTGATTATAGTCAGAATTATGTCGTCTTCAACATTTACAATATCTCTTATCAAAACTTATTAAATTTTTCAGAGCAATCCAGTCAGAATACAGAGTTTTGTCTGAGTCAGTCATCCTAAGGAACTGTATGTGACTACTGGAGACGACCCTCATATTATCGAGAAAAGCTAAACAAGTGTATGAAACTGTCTGATGGTAAATTCACGTCCTTACGCTTCACCCTGAATACATCATTAGATGAGGTACAGCAGTCTATAAAAGACTATGTGACACAGAAAGCCAATGAAGTTATTCAGTGTGCCTTTGAATGCATTGCACCTTGCAAGAAAATGCTTTAATGCACTTGTTACATAAAAAATATTACATGCTGGAGGAAAAAAGATAGAAACTCATGCATTTACAGAAGCCTTAATAAAAGCATACGATCAGGATCATCAGGTTGATGGGCATCAGAGTCAAGTACAGATTCTATCATTTTTTGTGAACAACTTTTCCAAAACTGAACTTTGTAAAATGTCGCATGGTTTAACAAAGTACAAAATAGATTGTGCAAGAAAATATGCATCAACTAATATTGTCCTGGCTACTTTTTTCATCCTTTGTTAAAACAAAACAGCTAGTGGAGCTACAGTCTCCTCAGAGACTACTGGTCTATCCACATGTACAGAAGTATTTTTACCAAAATGTTCAAATGAGATAGAGTTTCAATCATATCACTCAAATTGTCAAGTTTTCCCCTCAGGTCTTGATTGGAACATGTCGAATTATTTGAATCTATTCTAGGTCTTTTTTTCTCAATTTGGTTTTTATTCAGATTTTTATTTCCTCCCATCATTTAGATTTTAATACATGAATGAATGAATGAACTAGTACTGTAACACTTGGCTGAGTACAAATGGCGATGAAAACAGTTCACTGATGGTAAAGGGTTGTAAATTAAATGTCCCTAAATACACATTCACCAAGCACTAATTTATCATTTTTTTTAAATCGTCATACTCACTACCACCATGTCACTTCATACTATTTTGCTGCATCTATCACAGAAACTTTATCACATAGTTTTTTCTCTCAATTCGGGGGAGCAGAAAAACACATAGGAGCTTGGTTACAGGATGCTATATTTTGTGTATTATGTGTTTTTCTAGGTGTGTCTGAATACCCTCATTAAAATAAAAATAAAAATTTGTGAAATTAGCATGTTTTAGCATGTTTTAAAAATGTCATATTTACTGTATATATAAAAGGAGTAAAGGAGCGCCACTCGCCATCTTGAAATTCAGGGGGTACCTCGGTTCACACTTGATTTTAATCAATTTCTACATCTTTCCTACTGCAGTCGGACGAGATCTAGCTTTGAAAATGATTGATTAACATCTTTCAAACGTCTGCCGATGTGGACTTGCTGTATAAAACATGCAGTAAACACAAAACGTCCTCTATACCATGTACAGACATCGAAAGAAATGCAAGTGCTGATTTCTAACGATGAAAAATGTAGAGGTGTCCCGGAATTACACGGAAAATCTAGAGAAAACAAGTTTGGCGCGATTTCTGACCTCTCTAGATTTTCCGTGTATTTCCGGGACGCCTCTACATTTTACATAGTCCAAATCGCCACTTCCGTTGCTTTCGATAAACAGGTGCAAGAATCGAGGACGTTTCGGTTCACTGCTTGTTTAAAACGGCATACGTAGGTCAACAGATGATAGGGAGTTGTCATTCAATCATTTTTGAAGCTAGATCTCACCCGACACCGGTAGGAAAAATGTAGATATAGACGAAAATTAAGTGTGAACCGAGGTACCCCCTGATTTTCAAGATGGCGAGTGGCGCTCCTTTACTCTTTTTATATACAGTAAATATGACATTTTTTAAAACGTGCTAATTTCGGCGAATTTTTAAGGTCTTCCGTTTCCAACGGAAGACCTACTGATTCTGTTGGTAAAGATTATTAAGGTCTTCCGTCTTCAGCGGAAGACCTTACTGTTATTCTTAGGTTTCTTTTCCACTATTTTTATTATTGTTTTTTTTTTTCTTACCGATTTTGTGCGCGCGAGTTCTCGAGAACGGGTCGATCGATTTTCATGAAACTTTCAGGTCTGATAGAACATCAGAAAATCTAGATATATATTTTTTTATTTTGATGACGTCACTTCCGGTTCGGAGTTTTCTGCGATTTAGTGATTTTTAGAGGGTCACTTTGTCCGGCAGTTTTCTCAAAAAGTACTTAACACAGAAGCATGATATTTTCAGTGATGCTAGAGCAAACTTTGGAGAAGTGCCTTTTGTATATCACAACTACCGGAAGTACGACGCGCCGGCGCTCGCTATGGGCCGACAATAGTCCTATCATGACTTTTAAAATTTTTAACGCCTTTTCTATGATAACTTTTTACCTAGAAATATTTTGTTAAAACATATAGAACAAAAGAAGTGTAGAATTACACGATCTTTCAATTGATATCTCAAAAAAAAGGCTGACCCCTAAAATTAGGGATTTAGAGGGGCCAGCAGTATTTTCCTGATATCTCAAAAAGTATTGACAATTTGTTAAGCATCATAGAAGAAAAGTTGTTCAGAATAACAAATAGCAGATGCGGAGATAATTTAAAGTAGTTAAGATGACGTCACTTCCGGTCAGACCGGAAGTATTTGTAAATGGCTCGTTTTTGCACACTTAACCGTAAATGTCTAACAATCTCGATCTCATCATCTTCAGAATTAGACGGAAGACTTATTTGTTGCTTTGCAACAAGCTCGTCTAGTTCTTTTTTTTTTTCTTCTACTTCCTAGACGCCAACTTTGAGGCCTCATATCTCACTTATTTATCAACGGATTTTGCTCAAATTTTCAGACATTATAGACATCATTAAACTCTATCGAGTGCTATCTAACATTTCAAAAATTCACTTCCGCTTTTGAGTTATTCCCCTTTAAACGAAAATTTACAGGCTTTCGTTTCCGGATAAAGGCTCAGAGACCACAAAAGTTGGAGCAGAAATTTTACTAATTTTGGGTAACAGAAGGATTGAAGTTGTGCACATCGGTTTTTGTTTTTCGATTTCTGTATTCACAATGGCGCTATATAGGGGTCAAAAATTAGAACGCCTAAAAGAGCGAAAATTTACTCATATTTTCCTTTTTATCTTGAAAACTAAAAATATTTTGTTAAGACATAATGAACAAAAGTTGTGCATAATTGCAAGGGCTTTCATGTAATACTATTCAAAAGGGGCTGGCCCCTATAATAAGGGCTCTATGGAACTTGAAAGTTTTTGCTTTATAACTCAAAAACGGTAAATATTTCGATCTAGATCTTACGAACAAAATTGCTCTTTTACACCTTTTTGATCTGATGAAAATGCTGTTTTGTTCGATTTTGCCGGGAATATTGGTAATAACGCGGTAGAAAGTAGGCAAGGTAAACAGGTAGCGTTTTTCGGATTACACTCACCTTGTTTGTTTACAATTATATAACACGCCTCCCTCGATAGCGCGGGGCAAAGTCGGTCACCGGGAATCAATCGGCGGGTAATCCAGCGACCCACAGTTATACACAAATAAAAACACAGAATGGTTAAATTCATTCTTTTAATATATAAAATTGTACCTTAATACTATCTCTGTCCTATAAAAATATTATTTTGTTCAAGTCTTACGTATTATAGGAAAGAAAGCTAGGCAGTTCTCATCTTGCTATTGGAGGAAAACTTTGTAGTCTTTATGCGCAGAATTGAAGTAAACTTGCCGTAAATAATAAATATTTTACAATGCTGTATCACATCTCTTTTTTTAATTAGGTTTTAAACGTGTTCTTTGGTTCCCGTTCAGAGTATTCAATGGCATCATTTTCCTTTTATTAATCAAGATGTTTCCAAGAGAAAGAGTTTTAGAAAAAAGCTTTTCTTCGTTAAAATATGAACACAAACAATATGAACGAAAACGATACACGCCCGGATCTCATAAAAAGAACTTTTAAAGAGTCAAATAATACAAAAATTATTTACTGCGCAATTCTCACATTCACCTGGAACCCAGATTTTAAGTGTGTTGACCATTGCTGCGTAATCTTACGATTACACGCATCCAAGAAAATCTTAAGCGACACGCCGCGGCGAACCATTGACCCCGCAGTCATAGGCAAAATAATTGGTGTATTAAAACCATTTTACAATTAATGGAAAATTATTATTGTCCGATATTTGAGATTAATATGTTGGCTTATCTTCGTTTTAAATTTGATCGTGATACATTTTTATCTAAAACAGCTATCTTGGTTTTGTGTTTGTTTACAATTACGCGACAAACCAATCCTTCCGTCGCTTGTTGACATTAATTTACACAGCGTGGTCGAATGTTAAATCTTATTTTACAAACTCACGCTATGAACTAGTAAGTGAAAATCATTGGAGGCTCTTACTTGAAACATAGATTACTTATGATTGGAGGTTGTGTCATGACCCTGATCAAAGGTCTTTCTGGCAAATCAAGGTCACTGACAGAGAAAAAATGTTTAAGCATAACTTTGTAATTAAGATTCACTGGAGGCTCATGCTGAGAAGAAAGGTTGTTCACATTAGAAAGTGCAGTAACCTTGACAAGGTCGGTACTTCCTGTCCACAGCTCCAACGGAAGACCTACTCGTTGCTTTGCAACGAGCTCGGCTCTAGTTATTCTTTTTTTTCTTCTGCTTCCTAGACCGCAACTTTGTGGCCTTACATCTCACTCATTTCTCAACGGATTTCGCTCAAATTTTCAGAGGTTATAGACGTTCATAAACTCTATCAGAATGCTGACTAAAATTTCAAAAAGTCAGTTCCGGTTTTGAGTTATTTCCCTTTAAACGAAAATTTATAGGCTTTCGTTTCCAGACAAAGGCTCAGAGACGGCTAAAGCTGGAGCAGAAATTCTACTGATTTTAGATAATAGAAGGATTCAAGTTGTGCACATCGTTCTTTGTTTTTCGATTTCTCTATTCAAAATGGCGCTATATAGGGGTCAAAAATTAGAACGCTCAAAAGAACCAAAAATTACTCATATTTTGCTTTTTATCTTCTAAACTAAAAATATTTTGTTAAAATATATAGAACATAATTTGTGCAGAATTAGAAGATCTTTCAAATGATATGTCGGAAAAAGGGCTGAC